TCGCTCGCCGCAGCCTCAGCTCCTCCTTCGTCGGCCCCGGGCGGGGTCTGTCGGATCGCCCTCCTAGCCGCCTAAGCCTGCCCTCCGCCAAGCGGTCCCTCCCCACAGCAACACACGGCTTCTCTTCCTCAGCACGGCGACGGGGGCTTCCCCTCAGCCGCCGCCGCCGCCGGCCAAGCCCCGCCGCTCCCGCGGCCCGCGGCCGCCGTAAGTACCGGGGGGCAAGCGGGGCCGTTGGGCATGGGGAGGGAAAGGGAGGGCTGGGCGCGCCCCCCGACACCCCGCGCGCGCCCCGACGACCCCACCCCGCGCCCGCCTGGCCCGCCACTGGGGCGCCGCGCCCCGCAACTCACTTCTCTCGGCGTCCGCGCCCAGCGCTCCACTCCGCGCCGCGCCTTGGGATGTGGGGTCCAGTCCCGGGTTCCGCGACAGCCCCGCGGCACCTGTGGTTCGGGAATCGCCTCAAGTTTTGCGGGGCGTTTTCGGGAGGGGCCGGCGGCCGGGGGCGGCGGCGGCCGAGGACTCTTGGCGCCCCCTGCGCGGCGGCGGATGCCATTGTCTGCTCCGCTCCTTGCCTGTCACCTCGCCCGGGCTTGGTCAGTGATGGAGTGTGGCATCGGGAGGGAGGGAGGCACTGGAGACGGCCGGACCCGAGGAACGCTGGCCCCGAGCCCGCTCCGCAGCTGAACCCATTGTTTTTAATACCGATCTCGAGGAATTGTGTCCTGTGATTTGCGGCAAAGTCAAAGCATTGGTTTTTAACGAGAGGGAAGGAATACTTGTGCCTTGCAACTGGGTTTCGTCCCATGTTAGCACATCCTTTATTTTAGGGAGAATACGTTGTGTTTTTGTCCTGCAAAGTGGTAGGGCCAATACAGGACTCTGCTACAGACAGCCTTGAGCCGATGGCAAACCTCCACCCCTTCTGTTCACCAAGATCTAGGAATACGGGGTCCATTCTTTTCCAAGTTCTGGTAGCGGGTTTGCATTAAACGTTGTCCAGTGGATGCTTCATTTGCTGCCCCCTTCGAATGCCGCTATCTTCAGGACTTACATGGGAGGCAGTTTGATAGCACCTAATAATGTCCGTAGATTTTTGCGTCCCTGAAGCATCTTAAGTGAGGTAATAAGCCAGTTTTAACTTTAATAAAGTTAAATTGGCACGTCATAAATTTCCAGAAATCTTGTTAATGCCTTTTGGGGTTATTACAAAAATACGACAATAATTTCTTATCGAAATTTAGAGCCCGTTTTATTATTCTACAACGGTTGTGTAAATTTCTCCTCCCCATGTTCAAATTCAAGATGGTGTGGTGAATATTGAGAATCAGGCTTGAATCTTGCTTGCAGTAACACTGTTAAAGGAACTTAAAAGGGTTAAAAGAAAAAATACCTATCTGAATTCTACCTTTAAATTACCTTTGTAAGAACAATATTTGCCTGTTTGCAGTTGTGATGACCAATTAAATTACAAGAAGCCTGCTTTAAAAATTAAACATGCAGACTAATCACCAGCTTTCCAGATTCCAAATAAACACATACAAATTAGTTTAAGTATAAAATACACTAGATTCAGCATCCAGTCCATCTTAGATGCTATATTTCATTGTTTTAAATGAAGTATTTCGTATAACGCCTCTGAATGTTTGTAACTGTTATTTTGGCCTTTTAAACATTTGTATTGTCTTTCATAATATTACATTAACTCAGTTATTAATTGTGTGCATATTTATGTTGGAATTTTTTTTTTAATGAGATAAAACCAGTACTTTTTTTATTAAGCAACACGTTATTTATGGGATCCTTTTTTTAGTTAATATTGTAGATCATTCTGTTTTGCTTAAAATATGGTAGCATAAACCGAAGGGAGCATTCTAAGTGTTTAAGCAGTCTGTCTGTAAGTAATTCTGCCTGGAACTAGAATGGCCTCAGGGTGAAAAATAGTAGGTCTCCTGTTTCTTTTAAATGGACCTAAACCAATTGATGTCTGCAGTTCTCTTTTGATGCATATAGAGAGTGTAGAACGTGTAGTGAGAGTTATCTTTATTTTTCCTCACTCCAAATTATTACCTGTTTTTCTCTTTTTCCCCCACACTCTCCTCCAAACTTATATGGAACAGGGTAGGGTGGGAAGGTTTGCATCTAGTAGGAAGATTTGTCTAAAAGAATTTCCTGGTATTTCAACTGGCATAGAAATATTGATGGCTATTAATCGTTTGTCAGTTAAACTCCCTCCCCCAAAGCTTCTCTATGAAACATGTAATCTTAACTTTATTGATTCGAAGTATTACATGTAATCTTGATTTTATTTATTTTAACAGATGCAGTTTATGTTGCTTTTTAGTCGTCAGGGAAAGCTTCGGCTGCAGAAATGGTATGTCCCGCTATCAGACAAAGAGAAGAAAAAGATTACAAGAGAACTTGTTCAAACTGTTTTAGCACGGAAACCGAAAATGTGCAGCTTCCTTGAGTGGCGCGATCTGAAGATTGTTTACAAAAGGTATAATTTTTATTTATCGAAAAGGTGAAATAGCAGAATCAAATGTTAGGTCATTTAGGAAATTGCAGACTTTTAAGTGATGACATTTACAAATCATGATTAGTAGAGATTTAGATGAAATAGCTTTAAGAGATAAAGCTTTGTATTTTTAAAGTAACTGCTATTTTGATTGATTACTCAGGCTGAAATGATAAAGGCAGAGAAATCATTTGAAAACTAATTATATAATTAAAGGCATAAATGATTATTCATGCTTAATCATCTTTTTAGAAGAGTTCAGTGAATTCATTTCATTGCAGAGGAAAATAGGGTCAGTATTTTAAATTGGGTGAGTAATTCTCTGAATTTAGACAAGCACAGATGCAGAGTCTAATAATCCCCTCTCCCTGAAAACCTGTAAAGTAATGACTAATATTTATGTGATTTTTAGAATCTTACTTTTACTCACTTATAAATACCTTGGGTACATAGACCATTTCAATCATATAGATGTTTAAAAACTTTGTGTATAGGTCGGGCATGGCAGCTCATGCCTGTCATCCCAGCACTTTGGGAGGCTGAGGCAGGAGGATCACTTGAGGTCAGGAATTCAAGATCAGCCTGAGCAAGAGGGAGACCCCGTCTCTCCAAAAAATAGAAAAATTAGCCAGGCATGGTGGTATGCACCTCTAGTCCCAGCTAATTGGAAGGCTGGGGCAGGAGGAAGGCTTGAGCCCAGGAGTTTGAGGTTGCTGTGAGCTAGGCTGACCTGGGCAACAGAGCAAGACCCTGTCTCAAAAACAAACAACTTTGTGTATATATAGGATCTGTTTGTAAGCAGTGTTTATTAATTTGAAGTACATGTTGCTGTGACAGAGGTATGATTAGATAGGATAAATAATTTTTGCCAAAGATTTTTAAAAATCTGATTTTACAAAGTGACTCATTTGAACACTTGAGTTTTTTTTAATGCTATATATCTTTATTAATATCTGAAACTCTTTGAATACCTTAAAATTATCAAAATTGTTCTAAGTAGGTTAAAAGAATATACTTTCTTTGAGGGGACATTTAATTTGTTCCCCATTCCTGTTCCTTTTTGAATAAACTCTTGAATTTAAGATAAGAGCATTTTTACATATAAAAATCCTCTTGTATGAATAGTATGCATGGAAGTAACAGTATGGGTTGCAAAGGAATGGAAAAGAAGTCTGACTTTCTTCTTGGCTTTCCTTTATTGCACTCCAAGTATAGATAGTTTTTTTTGTGTGGGGGGGAAGAAATGGAGATTATAGTACAGAGAGAGTTTCTTAAATATTATGGACTCCTCCTTACTATAGAATGAGTTTAGTCATCTTTGGGTGATTTTACATCTAGTGTTTGGTTTAATACTTGTTAAAGATCGTAGAAAAATCATAACATTTGAGAGCTGGGAGAAACCTTACAATAATCTAGTCTTTTTTTGATTTTTAAAGCTTTTTACTCCAAGGGTAGAACCTTAAATAAAACAAGTGGAAGTGGAGTTGCTTTTGTGAAATTAGGCATGGGGATCCTATACCCTTGCTCATTAGGCCTCTACCTTTTGCACAGGAGACAGTTCAAAACCTCTGTTGTTGATAAAACTTCAATTTTATAAAAAGTGAGGATTTGGGAGAAGTGACTTGTCCTAGTTCATATGCTACTTAGTGATTGATAAAGGGCTGCAACTCAAATCTTAAGCTTGGAGGCAAAGGTTTTAAACAGGGCTGGAAAAAAGACCAGATTTGCATTTCTTAAAAGATTGAAATAGGATAATGGGTGTGGGGAGGGGCTGAGGCTGACACCTGTGAAATCAGTAGGAGACTGCATAGTAATGAGTTGTTGAACCCAGATGCTGGAAAGGAGAGCTAATAAGAGGTAAGTTTGATAAGACTTGGTTACCTCTAGAAATGAGGAAGGTGGCAAAGGAAAGGGAGGAGTGGGAGTGATTCCACACTTCCGATTTGGATAATGGGGTGAATGGTGAGCTAGAGAACTCAGCTCATTTGGGGGCAGGTTGATTTGGGGATGTCTATGTGATTTCCATTAAAACATACCTGGTTTTCTTGATGGGGTGTGGTTGGCATAAGCCATAAAGCTAGCATTCGAGCAGCAGGCAAAAAGGATGAAGAAAGGACCTTCAGAGTAGAATGAGAACCAAAGAGAGAAAGTATTGGGTCTGCAAAGTCAGGGAAGCAGAGAATTTTGAAAATAAGATCACCAGTGCCAGATGCATTAAGTTCAATGAAAGTGAAGAAAGAATCTGTTAGATTTTACAGTGAGCATTTCATAAGATGCCTTTTGCCAGAACATTTTCAGTGGGATAGTAGAGACAGAACTCCCGATGTAATGGGGCGAAGTGTGAAGAGGTGGAGAAATTTAAACAGCACGTTTGTAGACTATTTTGGGGAGCTTTGCTGTGAAGGACAGGAGAAGAGGTGGTAACCACCTATAGCCAGAGGAGTGGGGAATGTGGTTTAAAAAAAAAAGGTGTGAGAGGCTTAAGCTTATTTCTAGATAGGGGAAGGAGTCCCCCGTGTGGAGGAGGAAAATACCAGCAAGAGAATCAATCCCAGGAAAGAGCTGTTAAGGGAAGAAAGGAAAGCACTGGTTGGTGTTCCTGTCCCATGTTGGGTCACCGCCTTTTCTTTTAAAAGCTATAAAAGGTAATCAACCCGACTCTGATACTGATTAATACATCAAACCCCTTTAAATAAAAGGTGGATTTTTAAAAAAAAAACAGCTTTATTGAGATATCATTTATATTCCAAAGGTGTTTCTCTATACATTCCCCCCAACATTTCATACTGAAAACATCATCTACTGTACCACTTAAGAACTTATTTTTTGTTGATATAAACAGATGATTTATTTTTCCTACTCTAGCCAGAAGACAAGACCTTTTAAGCAAGAGAATTGCTGCTTAGCTCCTGAGAAATTCTGAACTAGCACTTTTGCTGTTCATATCAGCAAATGCTTTTTGTTGTCTTTGTTCAATTGGCTCATCTACATTCTTCATCCTATTTGGCATATAAATGCCCCTTTTGGAGAGGGAGGGGTAGGGGGATAAGAACAATATTAGCTGAAAAGAGGACTGAAAATCTGGGGACTTGAATTATGTTCCCTTTGTGCCATTAGCTAGTTTTGTGACTTTGAATAAGTCACTTTGCCTTTATTTCCTCATCTCTAAAAAAATGCTGTTGACAATCCCTTGAAGACAGAACACTGTATGCTTTTTTGACTCCTGTGCAGCATTTTATGGAAGAAGCACTGGATTAAAGTCTTTCAAAATTAATTTAAAAGCACATATGTCTCAAAATTACTAGCTTGAGAATTTGTCAAAGAGTACTTATTGATTTTCTTTACTAACAAAAGAATTTTTAATGGCATACCAGTGGGTATTGAGAACGGTTTAGCTACATTCACCCATAGTCAGCTGATATTTAGCTGACTGCAGAAAAGTCATGTGTTTCGAATATAAGAATAGGCACTTTCAGATGTTCTCTGAGTGCCAGTAATTAGAGTAAGCCTTAATCCACTGTGCTAAAAATAGCCAAACATACCTTTCTTCTTACTAGTCTATTATTAATTTTACTTCAGATTTAGACTTACAAATATGCACTAAGAGAACAAAATGAGCTCATTATTGAATTTTTAAAAACCATTTGGTCCTAAATATAGGCAGTACACTTCAGGTTCTCTTGGTAATCTTTTACAAAATCAGTATGACATTTTTTTATTTCTCTTTTTCAAAGCTCATAAAATATTGTTTTCAGCATATTTAAATCTTTGCCAGGTGCAGGATTACTTTAATACAGTTGCTGGCTATAGTTTTTAATATAAAACTTGGGCTCTGGAATCAAATTGTTGTTCCTAGGCAGGTTATTCAAACCTGGGTCTCCTATAAATGCAAGTAATGATGGTATCTCTCTGGTAGGCTTGTTGTGAGGATTTGAATGGTAAAATATGCAAAAACCTTGGCTGACATTTAGTGCCTCATATAGGGTGAGGACTCAGTGAATGGTATTCATTATTATGCTTGTTTCTTCCCTAAGCTTTCTGTAAAGAGGTGCATTCTTATTGTGATAGCTATCTGTTCACCTACTAGGAAGAATTCATTAATTTGATGGCTCTTTTTCCATTCTGAGTGAAAGTAAACATTTAGAGAGTGTTGTGGGCTTTTTTTAAAAAATATTACTGGTTGGTGCTTAGACACATTGATCCTGATGACTTTTAAATTAATACTTCCAATTGATTCATACAGTTTAGGACCTTCAATTAGTGTTACGTGGTGTTTATTTGGAAGTAAAGAGGCAGTACTGTGGAAAAGGAGCAAGTATGGAAGCATTAGATTGTTTAATAGTAGCACTGAGGAAATATTGAAAATAAGACTAAAAGGAATTCTACTTGAAATTGAGTATTAGTAAACTCTGTAATGGAATTATTTAACATTCTGTTCATATCAGAGAGTTACATCTGGTTTTAATCTATCATTTTTATGTCAGTTCTTTTAATCTTTAGTTTTCTTAATTCAGAGAATCTTATGTATCATTTTTATCAATTTCCCCAAATTCAAAATAAGCTGGAATATCCCATTGCCTTTTTTTTTTTTTTGGAGACATTGTCTCACTCTGTTGCCCCAGGTAGAGTACAGTGGCATCATCATAGCTCACTGCAACCTCCAACTCCTGGGCTTAAGCAGTCTTCCTGTCTTAGCCTCCTGAGTAGCTGGGACTACAGGCATGTGCCAGCCAACGACACCCGTCTAATTTTACTATTTTTTATAGAGACAGGATGTTGCTTTTGGTTAGGCTGGTCTCAGAACTCCTGAGCTCAAATGATCCTTGTACCTCAGCCTCCCAGAGTGCTAGAATTACAGGTGTGAGCCACCACACCTGGCCAGATATCTATCTCATTGCCTTTTAAACAGATAAGCAAAAACTGAGTAGTGATGGGAAAGAGAGGAAACACTTTGTTAAAGTTGCAGGCGATGGTCTGTTATATCCTCCATGATTTATTTATTCCCTTCACAATGGTAAATGCACACATTTGAATGCCTACTCTCGATAAGACTATAGGAGACTCACCATTTTAAATAACTTACCACCGAATGTGGAAGTTGGGTGGAGTGGACATAAAGTCATGATATGTATGACAAGGGAGTTGGTATGGTAGAGTGGAAAAAAGCCTGAAGTTAAGGTCAAAAGATTGGGTTTCGGCCGGGCGCTGTGGCTCACGCCTGTAATCCTAGCTCTTGGGAGGCCGAGGCGGGCGGATTGCTCAAGGTCAGGAGTTCAAAACCAGCCTGAGCAAGAGCGAGACCCCGTCTCTACTATAAACAGAAATTAATTGGCCAACTGATATATATATATAAAAAATTAGCCGGGCATAGTGGTACATGCCTGTAGTCCCAGCTACTCGGGAGGCTGAGGCAGAAGGATCACTCGAGCCCAGGAGTTTGAGGTTGCTGTGAGCTAGGCTGATGCCACGGCACTCACTCTCGGGCAACAGAGCAAAGACTCTGTCTCAAAAAAAAAAAAAAAAAAAAAAAGATTGGGTTTCTTGTCCCCGTACTACCACTTATAGGGCCTGTACTCTCGGGCATCTTTTTTTTTCTTGTTACTATTTTTTTTTTTTAATATGTAATCAAGGATGACAGTACTTACTGTTGAAAAGATCAAATGAGATGAGATGATTTTAATAATATTGAAAGTAATAGTGTTGTATGAATGCTAGTTATTTTCATAAAGAGGAGCAGGAATTCATTGAATCCCAAAACTGAGGTTGTGTGTATTTTTCTGTATATAATATTATTTTACATTAATGCTATGAGCAGTAATTGCCCATTGTGTTTTCTAAAAATCATTTAAGTGCTCCTTTGTGAAAATTATAATCTCAACTGAGACTTGTTTAGAATGTCTTAGGTATTTATTTTCTTTTCAAAAGCCTTAAATACACTTAAACCATTTAAAAATGCTCTTTAATCTTCCTCAAAGGACTTGTTATACACTCAGGGTTGTTCATTAATAAGTTTGGCTTCCTTAGTTCAATCATAATCTGGTCCCATGTGCTAGGATCCTAATTTGGAGAAGAATATGAGTTTCCCAATTTAATTCCTTCCTCTTGGGTAAATAAACTACACTTCAGTTCAACAATTGTAGAACTTGAAAATTTTGAGGATAGGTCTCAGTTTCCCTTAAGTGGCAGGAACTTTCTGTTCACCTTCTCTAACTTATGTCATAACTTGGAGTATTGTTCTTTCCTTGGGGCTTCCACATTCCTAGAAACCTCCTTTTTAGAAACAATTCTATGCTGTTAGAAGTCACCCTTAGGGGTGGGAGGTTGTGACTAGGAGAGGATAGGAGAGGGGTTTCAGGGTTCAATCGTGTTCTGTTTCTTGATCTGGGTAACATAGATGGGTTGACTTTGAAAATTCATTGAGCTTGTGTGACTTGAGGTCTTCTCTGTATGTATATTACACATACTCCAATAAAATGTCCCCAAACATTGACCTCACCTTGACAATATCTGCAATAAGTCCTTCAGTTGGTAGGTTTATTTTCTTCCCTGTTTAAACAACTTGTTTGAATGAATCCATAGTATATTTTGCTTTAGTTAAGAAAAATCTGGATCAGCTATGTTTTAAAATGTTCATAGAAAGGAACCTGAAAAGAGGAAGAGCAAAATCAGGTACTCTTTCTAGGTGGTATGATTATTTTTTTTTTCAGTTTGCTTGCCTGTGCTTTACAAAATTCTCTTATGCATTTATTACTTTCGTAGTCTGAGAGAAAAATAATCTGCACTATTGTAAAAGAAGACAACTGTATAAGCATGGGGTCTTTCACAATAGGGTATGAAAATATATTTAGAAAACATGATTACACTGTAACATATTTTTCATGTTTGTATTTTGTTACAGATATGCTAGTCTGTATTTTTGCTGTGCTATTGAGGATCAGGACAATGAACTAATTACCCTGGAAATAATTCATCGTTATGTGGAATTACTTGACAAGTATTTTGGCAGTGTGAGTAGTATTTTATTTTAAAAAATTGGATGCCATAATATTTGTTTTAAATCTTTTCTCTAAGAAGTTTATTATTTGGTTGTCTTAAAGATTCTAACTGCAGGAGAGGACAGTAATGACTATTCTTGTCAGTGGGCCTAGACAGTTAACTTCTAGAATTGCTGGCCCTATAGACCTAACTCATTTAATTACGATGGTGACAATGAGGTTTAAAATAGTGAAGTGGAAAGGAGTCCAATGTAACCATTAATATTTTGGAAGTGCTTCGTATAGCATTTAGATTTGGTTAGCAGTTCTAATTACATTGCCCAGGAAATATGTGTTTAAAGATCAGTTTTTATGAGTAGAAATGGTTAAGTTGCCCACATTGGGAACATGCAAAGCCAGGTCTCATTTAGCTTGTAGGCATTATGGTTTCAAGTACTTGAGATATGAGATATGAAAATTAAGATTAGATAAACCAGTTAGCATGATTGCAGTTTTTAAAAGAATTAAGATTGATTCATTCTGGTCAAGTTTTATTCGCTGCCTGGGGGTGAATAAACATCTTTTGCTTCCTTAAGTTTTTTTATTTTTTTAATTTTTTTTTTTTTACACCTAATCAATGAAGAGAGCTTTCTTAAGTTTTAATAGTATTTTCTTTTTCTTTTCAGGTGTGTGAACTTGATATCATCTTTAATTTTGAGAAGGCTTATTTTATTTTAGATGAGTTTCTTTTGGGAGGGGAAGTTCAGGAAACATCCAAGAAAAATGTCCTTAAAGCAATTGAGCAGGCCGACCTACTGCAGGAGGTAAGATACTTGTTCTCTTGACTAGGCAATATAGCATGTTTTGCTTTTGCTAGGGAAGTCTCAGTCATCACTCTTATAATTTCACAAATTACTCTGAAGCATGCTTGGCATGTAGTGTCCATCCATGTGCAGTTTATTGATTGGAATATGTGTCAGTCATGTCAACTCAGTTATCTATGGATGGATGGTTCCCTTTGGAGATAGTCTCTTGGTCTGGCCTCTTTTTGTTGGCTCATTTTTGGGCCCCAAAACACTGGAGTCAGAACCTTTAGAGGACAGACTACTTTAAGAAGGGAAAAGATTGGCTGAAAAGTAGCAGTAAATTGAGAACTCTCCATCCATTGCTTGGAGTTATTTAAAATAATCCCCTTTTTCATTAGGGTGGATAATCAGGAGTTGACTGAGATTATGTCATATTCATTCCAAATTGGTTCATATTTTCACCTCATGTCTGTTAAATGCACATGTAGCCAAGCATATGACAGTGTTTTCTAATTATACTTTCTGTAGAACTCTTGGGTTTTGTGTTAGCAAAACTAAATAAACAATATTTGTACTTCTCTTTGCTCTTAAATAACAAACCATGTTCTGTCAAATTCTGCATTTTTTTCTTACCTCCATATCCCCAGAACCATAACTCCCTTTCCTTTCTAATTACCACAGTCATCCTGGGTTAATCATACATTTGGTACTGATATACCTTCTATTTCTGACGTGTAAAATTTCATATATAAGGCTACCTTTTCCTAAAAACTTAATGATACCTTAGATACCAAATTGAATTATGCTTTAGAGCTAATTGTAATTTTTATCATATAGAAAAGCTATCATATTTTTTTCATTTACATCATGAGAAAGAGTTAGTAAATATAAAAAGATGTACTGTGTTTTCATTAAGGTAGTTAAGTTTGTGTGTGTGCATATATATAAAAGGTCTTAAATATTTTTGGCCCACTGGTTTATTTTCCAGAGACACTGAAAGTATGATTTTATGTTTCCATTTTATTTTAATCCCTTCTTGTTTGTTATGTACTCGTTTATGAGTTTGTTCCTGTCTTTTTTTAATTATTAAGCAGACTTTAAATCCAGTTTCTTAGCATTCCTATTATAATAGAAATGTCAAGTTTTAAGAGAATGAAGTAAGGAAAGAAGAGTAACTTTCTCCTTTGTAACTTCTTAACTCTTGGTCTCTGGGGAGGGTAAAACTACTCAGGAGTCCCCCTGCATCGGTCATGGGTTGCGGGGATTGCTTGAAGTTGACATGACATCATTTGAATCTACATCTATTAAATGTGAGAAAGTGCATTGTGTATTTAACGATGTTGGCATTATCAAAAGAGTGGTTTAGGCGCCTGCAAAGGTGAGGCATTTGATTGGCAGTCCTGCTGCCACCTGCTAGTCAGTAGTGAAATGAGCACCAGCAGCCCTTTGCCTTGTGTGTCTACTTTGCTTTGGTGGTTTATTAATTGATTGGAAACGTCATTTTAGAGATTCTTTTTTAAATATCAGGTGTGCTGACTACAGGCTCATATTCTACTGTTATAAAACTGTTTTTTTTAAGTTAGCATCTTCTTATTTTGCTGTTCACTAATCAGACTTCTTAAAAAATTAGGTCAAAACCAGGATTAGGAATTGGGAATTTTTCACATTTGTTCCTTTGATCACTTTTATTTTTTGTTACTATGGATCTGTGTTCTATCAGAACCTGGTATTTCCTCCAAGTTTTTCACCATTTTCTGATTGATTACATTTGCTTTAAAATGTTTTAAAACTTACTGAAGTTCAGCTTTTAATTTTTTTTTTTTTTTTTTTTGAGACAGAGTCTCACTCTGTTGCCTGGGCTAGAGTGCTGAGGTGTCAGCCTAGCTCACAGCAACCTCAAACTCTTGGGCTCAAGTGATCCTCCTGCCTTAGCCTCCCAGGTAGCTGGGACTACAGGCACATGCCACCGCACCCAGCTAATTTATTCTATTTTTAGTTTGGCTAATTTCTTTCTATTTATAGTTGAGATGGGGTCTCGCTCTTGCTCAGGCTGGTCTCGAACTCCTGAGCTCAAGCAATCCTCCTGCCTTGGCCTCCCAAAGTACTAGGATTACAGGTGTTAGCCACCGCACCTGGCCTCAGCTTTTAATGTTTTTCCTGGAGAATAATGTTTAAGGTTCTGATATCTCTGTCACCCAAGCTAGAGCGCAGTGGCTGGATCATAGCTTACTGTAACCTTGAACTCCTGAGGTCAAGCAATCCTCTTTCCTCAGCCTCCCAAGTAGCTGGGACTATAGGTGCACACCACCACGTGGACCTGGCTAATATTCTTTTATTTTTTGCAGAGAGGAGCTCTCGCTATATTGTCCAGGCTGGTCTTGAACTCCTGGCCTAAAGCGATCCTCCCACGTCAACCTCACAAAGGGCTGTGATTACAGGCCTAAGCTACTATGCTACTGTGTGTCTAGCCTCTTGTCTCCCTTTTTTTTTTTTTTTGAGACAGAGTCTTGCTTTGTTGCTGAGGCTAGAGTGAATGCTGTGGCATCAGCCTAGCTCCCAGCAACCTCAAACTCCTGGGCTCAAGCGATCCTCCTGTCTCAGCCTCCCGAGTAGCTGGGCCTACAGGCCTGTGCCACCATGCCCGGCTAATTTTTTCTATATTTATTAGTTGGCCAATTAATTTCTTTCTATTTATAGTGGAGACGGGGTCTTGCTCTTGCTCAGGCTGGTTTCGAACTCCTGTCCTCAAGCAATCCGCCCGCCTCGGCCTCCCAGAGTGCTAGGATTATAGGCGTAAGCCACCTCACCTGGCCTTGTCTCCCTTTTTAAAATACTATTTTTATGTCTTTAATTGAGGAAAGTAGGAATAGGGAGAAAGATATAGGATGGCTATGATGCTATGTAAAATTTTCCTTACCCCCTCTTCATCCTTTTTTTTAAAAAAAATTGACTACTGTTAATTACAGTTCCTTGTCTTTAGAAGAGAGCTATGTCCCTGTTTACCTTCTGTGACTCTGTGACTACTTTTACATTGTTTTGTACACAATCCAAACCGAAGAGTACATTAATACATTGTCAATTTAGGGTGTAGGTGAACCATTTTTCTTAGCCATTCAGGTCTTGAGGAAGCAGAAGGTGGTGGTCCATTCTGAACTTAGAGTAAATTTGGATATGTTGCAGGTTAAGGCCTTTATGAAGCCGAGCACAAGTCTATATGGGGCAGTAAGTCTTCAGGTTATTCTGTTTACTTCATAAACATACTTTCAAAAGAAATTCAGGGATGGCAAGATGTGTGTTTCCTGAAATAGATTCATTTATATGTTGTTACATGGTACAGGTTTACATCTGTGGGAGAGTATTTGTGTGTTGTTTTTTTTTCCAGCATATTATGAGGGTACAAATGTTAAGGTTACGTATATTGCCCATGCCCCCCTCAAGTGTGGGAAAGTATTTGAATATTATGTTCAAAAAATAGAAGGTGGAATAAAATGAGCAAAAGCATTCCATAAACTGCTAAAAAAGTTTTTGTTCTGGATACCATGACAACAAAAATAACTATGACAATAACCAATGCTTATGGAGTGCTTGTATGTGAGGCCCTGGGCTCAGCAGTTTTCTTTAAGCGTCCTGTGCTAATCCTGAGGACACCTTGTGAAAGGGTTAGAGGTAGTCCTTTTTGACAAATGAGAAAATAGAAGCTCAGTGAGGGTCCAGTGACTGGTCTGAGGCCACCTGGTTAGCAACTGGAAAAACCACGATTCCAAACCCAAATCTGCTAGACTCCATAGCTGTGTGAAATCTTAACCACTGTGCTCTGTCCCCCCATTCATGTATTGTCTTGGTATGTATATTTTAAACATTTTGGCTTAGATACCATCTTCCGTGTTTCTTAGTCATAAGAAACACAGAACAGTGAGTCATAAAGTTCTCTCAAAGGTTTTTCTGTATGGAACAGAGTATATTTCCTAAGACCAATGCCTTCTTTGACTTCTTAGGCTGGGAATTTCCAGTGTCCAAATTATTAGTAGTTGGAATTTTTTATTGGATACATAGATATAAATAATTTTCAATTTATTTCTCATTGGATTGATCAACATGCCTGTTATCTATAATAGCTTTTTTGGTCCTATAATTTGGGGTATGACAGTATCAGTGAAATGATGGGGTATAGTCAGTATCATGAAATGATTTTGCTTCCAAAATTATAAATATAGCTGTGAAGATACTTATCTAAATTCAGCCTTAAATTTGTAGAAGTCCTAATTAGTTGACTTTAATTTTTCATGTGTCATGATTTTTCTATTTAATGTCAGGTCTTTTATTTGAATTGATTATTTCTAAGCACCAAAGATGACTTTGAACTTATAATGAACGTATATCTGTTGGCTTAAAGGTATATGCAAATCTCAAAATGATTTTGATATTAGTTTTTTTTATTTTTTTATTTTTTATTTTTTTGAGACAGTCTCGCTTTGTTGCCCAGGCTAGAGTGAGTGCCGTGGCGTCAGCCTAGCTCACAGCAACCTCAAACTCCTGGGCTCAAGCGATCCTACTGCCTCAGCCTCCCAGGCAACTGGGACTACAGGCACTTGCCACCATGCCCAGCTAATTTTTTCTATATAATTAGTTGGCCAATTAATTTCTTTCTAATTTTTTAGTAGAGACAGGGTCTCGCTCTTGCTCAGGTTTCGAACTCCTGACCTTGAGCAATCCGCCCACCTCGGCCTCCCAGAGTGCTAGGATTACAGGCGTGAGCCACTGCGTCCGGCCTTTTTTAATTTTTGAAATATACATTCCTATCCTTAAGAATGCTTATTTTCTTCAGAAAACTTTCTTAAAATTTTCCCTTTTACCCAATTTGTATAAACATGTAGTGTAGGGTAGTCTTTCATTTTATAGGCAAACAGGGAAGGGGGTCAGTGGATAAAGATTTTCTATTAGCGTATTACAGTCAGTAAATAACATAACATAGATGTGTATTTGAATAATAATTGCTAAAATATCAACATTGTGCTTAA